TTCCCCCCTCTTCCCTCCTACCCCCCTGCGTTCCACGAAAGCCCTTTTTTTTACTTCTCGAATTCATGATGATGGCGGTTGCATCGCCCCTTTTATGTCAATATACATGCCTTTTTGCACATTTGGCAAGTGGTGGAATGAGTTGGTCTGTTCGTCTGAAAGGGCCTCGCTCCACTACTCTCCACATGATGCACCAAAGACCAAAAAGATGGCGGTGTATAGTTCCATGTTCTAGCGGAAGATTCATTCTCCTTTTGCACGCATCTGGAGAGTAGTGGAGAGAGGCCCAAATAGGGACCAAAGCAAGGCAGTCAAAATACTTAAAACCTAGATTAAGAAAAAAAGGAAAGGAAAAAAAAAAACGACTATGAAGAGGCAGAGTACCAACTGGCTTATCTCAGTTGGTACATCCCCCCTGGACTGAACTGTTGAAATACAGACCAGGTGCTGAGTTCGAACTCTCCACAAGGGGCAGAGTACCAACTGAACTGTGTTGAAATGGAGACCTACCTGATTTGGAACACCACAAGAGGGGCAGATGAGCAAAAAAATACCACGATTTCTTTCAAAAAAAAAAAACAAAAAAAAAAAAAACCTAACGATTCTGAATTACCAAGGGCCGGTCAGTTTTATGATGATAGTTCTGGCCTTAACGTTGTGGTGGTGCATGTGTACACGTTCCTTATTCAAGGACTGGAGATGGAGATGAGGAGGACATGGTTATATGAGGGGGGGATATATACCCGCGCTAGGACGTTTCTACTGAGCTCTGGACGCAATTGCGGTCAGATTCATCCAGGTCCGGCGGTAATTGCAGTCAGGTACAATTACGACGAAAGTGCTTTGTGTGAGTATGGCCTGAGGGTGAAAGAAAAATGAGGGGCATTGTATTGAGGAGGAGATACGCATGGCCTTTTTTTTGTTTTTTTTGTTTTTTTAAGAGCTGGACAGGCGTAGGAGGAGAGAGGCTACTATCTTTACCCGAATAGAATGCCCGGTCATAACAGGTGGAGCTTTCCTTACCTCTTTCCCCTTCCCCTTTTTTCCTTTTCCTTTTTTCTTTCCCCTTTTTTGCGCTCTGATTCACAATGTGACAATATATAAGCTGTATGTATTTGGTCCAAATTCCATTCTTGATACGGACGGCGCGATAATGGCTGGGCGTTCTATTCGGTGAAGAAGACGGTAAGGAGGAGAGAGTACCAGGACTGGCTGGGGATGATTTATGCATATCGAAGATAGGGCCTAGTTGCATTCCGAATGCATATGGTCAAACTCTATGTCCAGGTGCACGCAAAATCTCGGCAGATGGCGATAGGTGCATCTAGGCCAATGGAAGAAAACACCGCTCGGATGGGAATAGCACTTGTTACAATCCCCGCTAAGATTCTGAATGCATATGGTCAACGTCCATGTCCAGATGCAGTCAAAATCTTGCCAGATGGCGAGTGGTGCAACTAGGCCCGTGGAAGAGAACTCCACTCGGATGGGGAATAGCACTTGTATAACTAAGTTATTACAAAAGAAAAGTGATAAAACCCCGCGCGCGCGCGCGCGCACGCGAGAGAGAGAGAGAGAGAGAGAGAGAGAGAGAGAGAGAGAGAGAGAGAGAGAGAAGGAACTCATCCATCCGATGGGGGGGGGAAGACAGCGCGAAAGATCGGCGGGCGGTGAACGATACTCCCTGCCTGATGTAGAGGGCCATTTTGTTGACGACAACACCGTAAAACGGGGTTGTAGATTCGACTCCAGATATTATAGCGACACTCCCTCCTATCACAGCTGCTGCATTGGTGCAGCTTTGACTCCAGATATTATAGCGATAACGACCGTACATTCTACTCGGGGGAAGACGATAGGAGGAGGAGGTAGGAAGGTAGGTAGGTAGGTAGGTAGATAGTCGACGTGCACACTTTAAATTGTATATAGTATTGATTTTGCTATGATTGTCTTGTTCTTTTTTTTTTTTTTTTTTCCGTCTTCTTGTGTTTGTCCTAACTGGTGGTCTGTTCGGCAGTTATGAAAGAATTCTTCTTCAACGACTGTACCCCAAAAAAAAAAAAAAAATCTACTTCCCAGCTACTACCGCTAACAATGGCTTTCAGATGGCAGCTCTCATAAACAAGCAAGGGTCTTAAGGGGCACATCTGAAGAGACCGCCATCTCGTCAGATCTTGCCGATCATCATCATCATCATCATCATCATCAGTATCATCATCATCATCATCATCATCATCAGCAGCAGAAGCAGAAGCAGCAGCAGCAGCAGCTGTAAAGAAGAGGCCTTGCGACTCGTGCGACAGCAGCCGACCTATAAGCAACTTGATGTGCAGAAGGAAGGAAGGAAGGAAGGAAGGAAGGTCTGGGCGCACTCCAGCTTATTTCACTATATTGTCGCCGACTTTTCGCTGACCGATTTTTTTTTTTTTTTTTTTCTCTTCTCTTTTGTGCGCTGATTAATTCATTCTGCCGCTGCCGCGCCTCCGCCGCCGTCTCCGCCGCCGCCGCCGATCTCTCTGCCTTGGGTTTGTTGTAGTCGTGCTTGTGGTTTGGCATCCGTGGGAGAGAGGGAGGTGACTTCCCACGCTGCGTCTGATCGCCCATTTCCGTCGATTGATTGGCCAGATCCCGACTTGAGAGGGCTGTCAAATCAGCAGCAGATGGAGCGAGCGGAAGGGCAACGGAAACAAGGAGGAGTGGAGGGAGAGAGGTGTGGAAATGAAGATGGAGGAGGAGGAGGAGGAGGAGGAGGAGGAGGAGGAGGGGGGTTGGAAATAGGAGAACCACCTCCACAAGCACCTCCACACGGAAGAGTTGCTTCAACCTTGTCCATACAGAGGGAGGAGATTGGTATGGGACGGACAGAACGGCGGCAATCTCGTGATGAGGTCGGGATCCCGACGGCAAGCACGGCGCCTGCGACCGATGAGGTCAGACGTGGGGGGGGGGGGGGGGGAAGGGCATGTGGTATCGGTGGCGGTGGCGGCGGCGCCGCTGCTAAGCAGCAGCAGGCCGCCTCCTCCTCCCCTTTGGCGCCAAATCGCAAGAGTATTCGTATCAACGGATGGCTCATCGAGAGTGTGAAAGGGTCCATCCTGCGATGCCACGAGGTGGAGGAGTGGAGCAGGCTGCTGAGGACCAATCACCTTCCAGAGATGGTTTTTGGCGGGAGCTCTCTGAATCTGACACACGAGGCCAGCGGGGTGGTACTCAGCTTCAACGCGCTGGATGCTTTGCGCGGCTGGCGCGCGGAGAACCTGCCACCTGTCGAAGTTCCTGCAGCCGCTCGATGGAAAATGCGTACCCGGCCAAGCCGTCAGATCATACTTGGCTATGACTACACCTTCACGACTCCATACACGGGAAGCGTCTGTCTGCGCCCTCCTTCCTCCTCTCTTTCTCCCTCCTCCTCCTCCTCCCCCCTCCATGAGGAGGAGGAGGAGGAGGAGGCGGAGAAGACGGGCAAGGATTGCTATGTGGAGACTTTGGAGGTGAAGGATTTGAAGTTAGCGGGGAAGCAATCTGGCACTAGCCGACAAATTGGACGGTGCTTCCCGGAGAGTGGTCCTGAGGAGGGAGGAAGAGGAGGAGGAGGAGGAGGAGGGGTGCCTGGATGGAGAGAGAGTGGTTTCCCCTCCTCGTTAAGAGGGGTGCCTGCGCAAATATGTAGAGAAGGTGGGAGGGAGATAGTAGGAGAAGGGATAGGAAGTGGTTTGTGCTCGCTAGACGGCGCTTTAGCGGGGGGGGCTGCTGGGGGATTAGGAGAATCTGAGACGCAGAGGAGGAGAGGCGATGATGGCGGCGGCGGCGGGGAGGCTGCCGAAGTACTTGCAGGGGGCGAGAAGGCGATCGAGTGTTCAGGCTGTAGTAGGATGGGAGCAGGAGAAGACGGGATGCGTTTGGCGCGAGCAGAGGGGGAAGAAGCGGTTGTGACCTTGATGTCGTCGAGTTCCAGGGAAGATAAGAAAAAGGCGGGAAAAAAAGGCGGGAAGTTTGAAGGGAGAAAATTCGGAGACTGGGTTTCGTCAAAATCTAGGGCCGACAAGGAGGAGGCTGAAGAAAGTGGGGTAGTAGTAGTAGTTGTCGACCGGGAGGAGAGAGGCAATGAGGAGGAGGCAAAGGGAGGCGGGGGAGAAGGGGAGGGGGGCCGGGAGGGAGAGTTGCCTTCGTCGGGAAAAAGAGATGGAAGTGGCGGCACCGCCTCCGCCTCCGCCTCCGCCTCCCATTCCGAAGGGGAGGGAGGGATACCAGCAGGACGCGTTGGGTTGGGAGAAGGAAGGGTAGGGATGCCAGGGTCGGGATCGGGATCGGGATTGGGATTGGCGGGAACGAAGGTCGGCGCAGGGAACAAGGGCGAGTCGGCCGCCTCCGCCTCCGCCTCCGCGTCCGCCGCCGCCCACGTGCGGGAGCGGGGGAAGCAGCAGCAGCAGCAGCAGGTGGTGGTGCTCCAGCGGGCGAAGCAGCGGCGGGCGGGATGGGAGAGTTGTGAGGAGAGGATCGACCTCGCGGTGCTTAGGGCGAGAGTGCCCATTCTCTTCTATGATGAGGTGGTCTTGTACGAAGATGAGCTGGCGGATAACGGGATCGCACTGCTGACAGTGAAAGTTAGGGTGATGCACACGTGCTGGTTCGTGCTTCTGAGGTACTGGCTGCGAGTGGATGGCGCTTTGATGAGAATAAGAGACACTAGGGTTTTTTGTGCGTTCGATGACGTCAACGACACGACGGTGAAAGACGACGGCGGGGATAACGAGAAGGAAAATGAGGGTGGCGGTGGGGGTGGGGATGG